AAAAAAAAAAAAAAAAAGAGATTCATTGTTTGGTAGGAGATGGGGTCAGCACATAAAATGATAAGTGATAATGAGGGTGACCAGGGCTAAGAGGAGAAGCAGCTTTGAGAGGAAGCTGGCCTCCAGAGGAAGACTTGGAGGTGGCAGTGGGTTGAGGGTCTGTGGGCTTGGCCTCACTCATGTCTTTTCTCTGTCTTCTGTTGTTTAGGACCTTTACTGCCCCTATACCCTACTCCAACCATGGGCTCCCCCTTTCCTCTGCTGAACTTGCCAACATCCCTGTACCCCGTGATGTGCTCCATGGAACATCCCCTGACAGCTGACATCGCCATGGCCACCCGTGCAGATGAGGATGGAGACACGTGAGTGATAGACCCCTAGTAACGGAGGTTGGGAGGCGGGGGGGCCAGCTATCCCTGACATGGGGTACTCAGTTCAAGTGGACCCAAGTTAGAGTCCTTACTTCACTGCTGACTGTGTGACCTTGAGCAAGACCCTTCTCCTCTCTGAGCATGTTTCCTCCTCTGAAACATGGGCACCCTGAAAGCACTTACCTCCTAGGACTGTTTTTAGAGCAGTGGTCTTCAAATTTTTTATCATAATCCAAAAATAGGAAATTCATTTCACTGACTGATTTACTACATGAATGATACCTGTAAGCCTGCTGGCACTGAGCCTCATACAAGTGTTCATTAATATTATTTCTTTATCTCAAACCCAGAACACACACACATAAACTTGAAATAAAAATTACACAAAGTGAAACAATATTCATCCTTACTATGGGGGATCTACTTTGATATTGAGACAAAGTCTCACTTTGTTGCCCTCGGTAGAGAGCTGTGGTGTCACAGCTCACAGCAACCTCAAACTCTTGGGCTCAAGCAATTCTCTTGCCTCAGCCTCCGAGTAGTAGCTGGGACTACAGGCGCCCACTGCAACGCCCAGCTATTTTTAAGGACTGGGTCTCCACCTGGCTCAGGCTAGTCTTGAACCTGGGAGCTCAGGCAATCTTCTCCCCCCAACCCCCGACCCCACACCCCTGCCTCAGGCTCCCAAGTGCTAGGATTACAGAGAGGAGCCACCGCACCTGGCTACTTTGATATTTTCTATTCTAGTCTACTCCACTGTCTCATAGTCTAGCCCACTTAATAAGTCTGACAATCTTCAAAATTGATTTTAAAACCCCCATGGTTTACACCAGCAGTTTGAAGAACATGCTCTTGAGGCTTCTTAGGGGTTCTGCATGGGAAATTTAACCCTGTGCCTAATAGCAGAGTGAGCATTCAATACAATTGACTGTCGTTATTTTTATTTTTCTATACACCTGGGTTTGAATCTCAGCTGGCCACTTTCTTCCCCCCACATGCCTCAGTTTCCCTCTCTGTAAAAACAGGAACCATACAGATCTCTATGAGGAAGAAATGAGATGATTGACGTAAAGTGTGGGAATTAATTTGGGGACTGGAAACCACAGGTAGAAATAAACAGGCCCATTTCTGCAGATAAGAGGGGAGGGGGCTCCACTGGTGGCCCACAGGGTGACTTCAAGTCCCTATTTGGAAACCAGGCCTCATAATAGCACCTAACACAATTAGCATTCAGTGCAATGATATACACACATATGCCGCACAGAACATGGGCTGGGGCAAACAGTAAGTGCTTAATACGTGGGAATGGATGGTGTTCGACAGAGTCTTCAGGGTGGTTTTGGCCATCCGTGGGAGCCCAAGCAGGAGAAAGTGCCTGAGATATTTAAAGGGCTAATAAAACCTAGTTCCCTCCCCTTCTGGGTATGGCTGGAGATCATCTGTGAAACAGGTTGAAATGAGTTTCTGCCCCAAGCCGAGCTGTTTGCGGCCTGGGAAAGCAGGGTGCATGCAACAGGCCACTGGGCCCCCTAGTCTACAGGCCAAGGCCTTCACCCTAGCCACCCTCCCCCGCTCTCCCCCAACGCAAACACTTCTGCCTCAGCTGCCTGTTGGGGGAAATCCCTTCCCGCAGAACTTGACCGCAGCCCAGCTGCTCTGCCTCCCCCACATCAGCACCAGTCACTCACTCCAGCCTCCCCCTCCTGGCGTTCCCTCCAACCTTAACCCCTTCCGCTGGGGCCGACACTTTACCGGAACGGGCAGAGGGCCCAGCCCCAGTCTGCTCCACCAGCCCCACTTCACCCCCAGCGAGTGAAGGTAGTGGGGGGAGGAGGGCAGAGATGCTAAGCCTGAGTCCCCAAAGAAGCAAAGATTGGGAGGCTGGACTTCTAGCTCCTGGTGAGGGAGCAAGAGTCTTAGGGCATCTGGACCCCCAAGAGGTTAGGGACAGGAGAGCTAAAATTCGAGGTCTCCAAGGGGCAGGGCACATGTTCTGAGTCTCAGAGGACAGAAGTTTTGATACTTTATTCTGACATGCCCAAGGGGGTAAGGAACAAGATGATGGGCAGCTTGGGGAGCTGGTGCTCAGAGGGACCTTAGGGGCAAGACCAGCTAATAAATTGCAGGGCTCCTTGTTCCAAACTTAACTTGAAGGCTAGGCAGGCGGCTCATGCCTATATCCCAGCACTCTGGAAGACCAAGGTGGGTGGATTGCTTGAGCTCACAAGTTCAAGACCAGCCTGAGCAAAAGCGAGACCCCCGTCTCTATTACAGATAGAAAACCTGAGGCAAGAGGATCACTTCAGCCTGAGTTGGAGGTTGCTGTGAGCTATGATGTCATGGCACTCTACCCAGGGCAACCGCTTGAGACTCTGGCTCAAAAAAAACAAAGTAACTTCAAGAGGGCAACAGTGGAACATTAAACTGAGCTAGGGGCCCTTCTAAGCACTGGGTCCTGTGCCACTCCACAGTCACACACACTTGAGAAATTGGTAGTGCTTAGAGGCCCAGAAGTCCATTCCCCCAAAGGGACAAAGATTGGGACATTGCATTTCTGAGCCTCCAAGAGGACAAGGAGGAGGGTGGCAACTTGGGAACCCAGAGCTCAGAGGAACTGGGGAAGTAATTGTTCCGACTGAAGAGTTAAGGTACTGTATTTCTGGCTCCCAAGAGATAATGGGGTGGATGCCTAGATATTGGGGACAAAGCCAGATGGAGTCTGACTTCCCAGGGGAACTAACTCTCCTTGGGGCTTCCCTGCCTTCCTCTGCCCCATTCGAGGATGGAAATTGAGGTACCGAGGGTAGATCCCCGGCGGGACAGGTTTCCCTCCTCCCCCGGGAGCAGGAAGCGGAGCCCCGCCCAGCAGACCTGTTACTGGAAGTCCGAGGGCTGGGCCGCCCCTCCCGTCCCCACTTCCTCCAGCCCCGCCCCACCCCCTGCGGCCCGCGCGTTTATGGGAACTCAGGCCCGGACGGTTTCTCTGAAATCATTCTCTTCTGCCCTCACTTAACCCCGCCCGCCCCCCAACCCAAGGTCTTAGGAGATGCAGGGAAGGTGGGGAGTCCTTCCCAGGGAACTTTAGGGCCGGGTCCGGCCCCTCCCCCAATGTTTTCTTTTTAAATTTGGCTTTCACAGATTAGGATTCAGAATCAAGGATTCACCTACACAATCTCACCCTGGCTCTGGGCGCCGTTGGGGCGCTGTACTTCACAGAGGGGGAAACCGAGGCTGGGTAAAGCCATGTGATTTTGCCCTAGCACACAGCTAGGAAGGGTTGTCCAATTTGCATCCCCGACCCCAGGATTTCTGCTCTTCCATTAGAGTCACCTGGGAAGTTAGTTAAAACTGGATTATGGGCTCGGTGCCTGTGGCTCAAGTGGCTAAGGCGCCAGCCACATACACCTAAGGTGGCGGGTTCAAATCCAGCCCGGCCTGCCAAACAACAATGATGGCTGCAACCAAAAAAAATAGCCGGTCGTTGTGGCGGGCACCTGTGGTCCCAGCTACTTGGAGGAGGCTGAGACAGGAGACTCGCTTGAGCCCAGGAGTTGGAGGTTGCTGTGAGCGGTGAAGCCATCGCACTCTACCCAGGGGGACAGCTTGAGGCTCTGTCTCAAAAAAAAAAAAAAAAAAAAAAAAAACTGGACTATGGATGCACAGTCACAATTGGGAGAGCCCCGTTTGCCTGCCTTGGCAAGGCCCTAGTAGTAAGAGTCAGGTTGGGTGAGAAAGAAGGTGCTCTAGTACGTGGACTTTTAAAAAAGGTCATGCTGCTTGTGTACATGCTGTCAACCTCGTGCCCTCAGCTCTGTCCCCTCACTCCATGCAAACACCTGCAAGTGCGTGTGCGTACACACACATTCATATGTTCTGAATGGCTGTTCCAGGTTGGGGTTCCTGGGAAGTGAACAGGAAGTTTATTGGGGAGTGTCCCTGAATCAACACCTGTGAGACGAAGCAAGTGTGGGCAGAGGGAAAAGCTGAGCTGCTGTGCAGCTTCAGCAGGGCCTTAGCCATCCCAGAGGGAATGTTGAGGTTGGGATGGCCTTTAGGGCTGGAGCTAGGAGGCCAAGCCCTCTATGCTGGCATTGACCAGTCCCTGGTTACCACTGGATGGCAACTGCTTCCCATCCACATTGGGTATGACTTCAGGTAAGCAGTTGAGAGTAATTCCCAGGTTGTCCAAAAGCTGACAACCTTCCCAGAAGCAGGGGGAGTGAGTCCTTCAATCTGGGAGGGAGTTCTGAGCTGTGCAGCCGAGCACCCAGAACAAAGACCCAACAATGACCCCATCCTTACTTTGTTTCCACCTCCATTTTAGTCCAAGCTTTTGTTCCACATAGTTAGTCAGCCCTTGAGTCTCTTGGGTTGGAGGCTGACCCTGATATACAGACACAGCTGGCAGAGACTTTAATAGCAATTAGTTCATCCCCACTCAATCCACAGATAAGAAAACTGTGAGGGGTGGGAACATGATTGTCAGCTTCAAGGATGACCAGGGTGATCATAGAGATGGATTCATTTATTCAGCACATCTTCATGGAGCATCTTTTCAGCATCAGGCACTGTCCTAAGCACTGGGCAGTGAATCAAGGAAACCAGATGCCCTACCTTGATGGGGCAGACTTTCTACCAGAGATATTCAGACAGAAAAAAGTAAACTGTACAATTCATCAGGTGATGATGTGGAGGAAAATAATGCAGGGAATGGAGAGTGAGCAGCTACCAAACCATCTTTAGTAGTGACCTATATGGAGGGGGACAGGCTCTGCAAATATCTGGGCAAGACTGTCCCAGGTAGAGGGGACAGTCAATACAAAGGCCCTGGGAAGTGACCATGTGTGGTATGTTTGAGGGACATAACAATGAGGCCAGTGTGGGAGGACAGTGCAAGGAGATGAGGCCAAAGGGGGTTGAAGAGGGTGAGACTACAGTAGGCCTCGTGGGCTACAGTGAAGACTTTGGTCAGGCACAGGAGCCATGGTCTGACTTAGATTTTAAAAGGGTTCCTCTGGCTGCTGTGTAGGGGCTGTGGGACAGACAGGACAGAAGTGGAAGCAGAGAGGCTTCAAGGAGGGGAATGTACTAATCCAGGAGGGAGCCAATGGTCGCCGAACTAGGTGGAGGGATGGGTAGTGGTGATTCTAAAGACACTTCCAGGTCGGCTGTGGCTGAAGCGGCTAAGGCGCCATCCACATACACCTAAGGTGGCGGGTTTGAATCCAGCCCGGGCCTGCCAAAACAACAATGATGGCTGCAACCAAAAAATAGCTGGGCGTTGTGGCAGGCGCCTGTGGTCCCAGCTACTTGGGAAGCTGAGGCAGGAGACTCGCTTGAGCCCAGGAGTTGGAGGTTGCTGTGAGCTGTGATGCCACAGCACTCTACCCAGGGGGACAGCTTGAGGCTCTGTCTCAAAAATAAATAAATAAAGACACTTCCAAAGTATTCAACACATATTGGAGTTAGCGCTGCCAACAGCTTAGGGTTGAGAAGTGCCTACCCCATAATGCCTGTGATTTGCCCCCCCCCCCAGGCCTCTCCATATTGCTGTAGTGCAGGGTAACCTGCCAGCTGTGCAACGGCTAGTCAGCCTCTTCCAGCATGGGCGCCGGGATCTAGATATCTACAACAACTTAAGGCAGGTGAGGCTGGGGCCCTGGACTACTGGGTCTGCGGGAGGAGCAGCTAGGGGCCTGGACTCCTGACTCTAAGCAGTGAGGCGCTCCAGACTCCTGGTTCCTGGGGAAGGAGGAGGTTGAAAGTCCAGAGGAGGCTTGGGTCTTAGCAGGGAGGTACTCCAGACCTCTGAGTCCTAAGGGAGAAAGAGCAGGGGACCCTGACTCTTGAATTGAAGAAGGAGGTACTCCAGGTTTCCTTTCCTGGGTAAGATGGCAACTGAGAGTGAGGACTCAGAAGATCTAAGGGAGGCAGGACTGGGATGCAAGACAGGAAGCTGGTCCCTCACAGTCACTGTTCCCCAGACACCACTCCACCTGGCTGTGATCACCACGTTGCCGTTTATGGTCCAGCTCCTGGTAATGGCTGGTGCCAGCCCCATGGCACTGGACCGCCATGGCCAGACAGCGGCCCACCTGGCCTGCGAACACCGCAGCCCAACCTGCCTGCGGGCCCTGTTGGATAGCGCGGCCCCGGGCACGGTGGACCTAGAGGCCCGTAATTACGACGGTGAGTACCCTCCCCTGGGCAGAGTGCGCTGTCCATCATTTGGGGCTGCAAATCCCCGGTCCCAGGTTTGACTGAGCCTCTCGCTCCCTCAGGGCTCACCGCCTTACACTTGGCCGTGAACACCGAGTGCCAAGAAACCGTGCTGCTCTTGCTGGAGCGAGGCGCAGACATAGACGCGGTGGTGAGCGCGAGAGGAGCTGGAAGCCGGTCTACAAGGGGAGGGGGCGGGGGCAGGGGTGGGGCTGGTGGGGCTGGCGCGGCCTGGCGCCCGGAGGGATTTGGCTGCAGGTATCTAACCCCCAGAAAGGCTGGACCCGCGGGTGAGATGCCGCCTGCCAGCAGGTAGGACTGAGCTTGGCGAGACTCAAAAACCTTCCCTCAACCCTCGCCGTAGGACATTAAGAGCGGCCGCTCCCCCCTTATCCATGCCGTGGAAAACAACAGTCTTAGCATGGTGCAGCTGCTGCTGCAGGTGGGTACGCCCGGCCTTGACTTCTCGCCCATCTCCTCCTCTGATCCCAGCCTGGCTACCGCCCTGACCCCTGGCGCTGACCCACCTCCTAGTTGTGGCTCCCGTTCTTGCCTCGCTTCCAGCTCTGGCCTTTCCTTCTAGAGCTCGGTCTGTCGCTTTTTGACTTAACTCCCCTGGCTGCGATGTTGGGCGGTCTTTTATTCCTTCCCTGCCCCCACAACGGCCTCAGCCCAGCTCTGCGATGGCCTTCCTGACTCAGCTTTGGCTCCGTCCCCGCCTGTCCTTCCGCCCCGACTGCATCCTCGAACCTGCCCAGACCATGGGCCCTGCCCTTCACAGACTCCGCACTTACTTTGGTCCAAGCCGCCAAGTCCCGCTGTTTGATTCAGCGCCGACAGCCCCAAAATCCCACTGTGGCCCTTGGTTCTAGTTCCCTCCCTTCTATGACCCCCACCCCCGACCGGGGCCCCCAGCCTCTGTCACCGGCCCCGCCTTTCCCTGGATCCTGACCATGCCGGGAGGCCCAGCAGCTGCGGCTGCTGACCCGCGCTCCCCGCCCTCCGCAGCACGGCGCCAACGTGAACGCACAGATGTACTCAGGCAGCTCCGCGCTGCACTCTGCGTCGGGCCGCGGGCTCCTCCCGCTGGTCCGCACGCTGGTCCGCAGCGGCGCTGACAGCGGCCTCAAGAACTGCCACAACGACACACCGCTCATGGTGGCGCGCAGCCGTCGGGTGAGTGTGCAGGCCGGGGCCCGGCATCCCGTGGGTCGGGACCCAGGCCTGGGGAGGGATGTGAGCATGCGCATGACACACGTGCATCTGTGGGCATATGACGAGGGTGCAAGGGTAAGTGTGTGTCTATGTCAGGGCGTGGAGAGGAGCCATGCGCTTCAATGCGTTGAGTGGGAGTTCTAGAGAAGAGATTAGGAGAGACTAAAGAGCCAAGAAAGGAAGTGCCTTGTCCACCTTCACATAATGAGAAAGACAGGCCTTCACCTGGAGGCCAAGGTCACTGACAGATCCCATAAGCAAGGAGGGATAGAAAGAGGGAAGGCTGTGAGGCAGGAGTTGGCAACACTTGTCTCCAATCCTATAGGTAATCGACATCCTGAGGGGGAAGGCCACCCGGCCTGCTGCCTCCACCTCCCAACCAGACCCCTCCCCTGACCGGAGTGGCACCACCTCCCCAGAAAGCAGCAGCCGCCTCAGCTCCAATGGTGAGAAACTAACTCTCAACCTCCAGCCCATCCTCCCTCAGATCCAGGGACCTGACCTTCAGGTCCTCTGCCCTCAGACCCAGGCGTCCTGTCTCAGCCCCCTATCTCTGGGTCAAGCCTCTCATGGCAATCCCCCTTCTCTCTCCCTTCCCTCCACAGGTCTTCTTTCTGCATCACCATCCTCCTCACCCTCCCAGTCTCCCTCCAAGGATCCCCCTGGACTCCCCATGGCTCCCCCTAATTTCTTCCTTTCTCCACCATCTCCACCAGCCTTCTTGCCCTTTACTGGGGTCCTCCGAGGCCCTGGCCGGCCAGTGCCCCTCTCCCCAGCTCCAGGAGGCAGCTGAGAGGGATGGGGGGGCAGATCTCGGACTCATAAAGAGGGGCCTCCCTGCCCTGTGGGGTCAGCCCTTCTGGAAACTGTGAAGATCTCACTCTGCCCCCCCCCCAACCCCCTGTTCCTCTGAACCAGGATTTGCACAGAAGCACATGCACCTACCCAAGAGCCCCATCTTGATCCCTGCCCAGGACTCTTACCCCCATTACTCTCAGGCTCCAGTCTCCAGTCTTGAAATCAACCCAAATCTTCATTTCCTTGTCCTCTCCCCATGCCCTCCCACCAGCAGCCAGTGCACTGCCTGACATGGTGGAAGGAACCAGGGAACAACCACTCCCCTCAAACCAGCTAAACATGGAGAGGAGAGATGGGCTGTAGGCTGGCACTGATAACAATGTAAATTATTAGGCCTTTTGGTTAGATTTCTTTTGTAATAAACTATTTTTGTACCATATCCTCTTTCATGAGGTGGTCTGGAGTAATGTGTTTATGTGTGCATACACCTATACACGATATCCAGCAGACACAAGGTGTGACATTATAAATCTGAGACTGACAATCGCATGTGTGTGACTCTGGGACTTCTGGTGTGTTGGTTATGAATTTGCTGTCACTGTGTCACTGTGCCATTGTTTTCTCAAAGGATGTGGTGTGTGACATCTTCCCAGGAAACCCTATTGAAGTCCATACTGACCCCAGGGGCATGTTTTCTGAGGGTTGTGGCACTATGTAAGTCTCTGTGGTAACCCACAGCTGACTACAATTCTGACGTCCCTGAGTGTCACATAGTGTCTGTAAATGTTCCTAACAGGAGAAAATATTATGTGATTGTTTCTGAGTGACTGTCCTACATGATTGCTCTGTAGGGCCCTCCTGAGAGACAACATCTGTGTCTTGATTCTGGGTTATATCTCTGGATGTCATTCAGGGTTTGTATTAGTTTCCTGTTGCCATGATAACAAATTACCATAAAATCAGTGGCTTAAAACAATGCAAATTTATTCTTTCTCAGTTTGGAGATCAAAAGCCTAAAATCTGTTTCACTGGACTTAAGTCAGGATATGGGTGGGGCAGGTTCCTTCTGGAGGCTCCCAGGGAAGACTCCATGACTTTGCCTCTTCCCCCTTCTAGGGGCAGCTTGCATTCCTTGGCTCATGGCTCTGCAAGCAGCTGCATGTGAGAACATCCTGTGTGATAAACATGCCATGCCAGTGTTATGTCATGGGCAACAACTGTCTCTCCGGCAGACCCTGAGCTCTGATTTCCTTTGCTGCTGCCCTCCCACCAGCAGCCAGTGCACTGCCTGACATGGAGCACACTTTTGAGAAGTGCTGGGATAATGGGTTAGCTCTTGCCCATACCTGCCCCCCATATCATGGTAGCTATGACTATTTGTGGCTGAGTCTGATCCCTGTCACACAGAATGAGGTGATTCCGCCACTCTGAGCCTCAGTTTCTTCATCTGTAAAATGGAAATGATCTTCACCCATCGCTGTTGATGGGTTGATGAAGATTTATTTATTTATTTTTGAGACAGAGCCTCAAGCTGTCGCCCTGGGTAGAGTGCTGGGCGTCACAGCTCACAGCAACCTCCAACTCCTGGGCTTAAGTGATTCTCTTGCCTCAGCCTCCCAAGTAGCTGGGACTACAGGCGCCCACCACAATGCCCAGCTATTTTTTTATTGTAGTTGTCATTGTTGTTTGGCAGGCCCAGACTGGATTCGAACCTGCCAGGTCTGGTATATGTGTCTGGCGCCTTAGCCACTTGAGCTACAGATGCTGAGCCATTGATAAAGACTTAATGAGAGTCTGGGTGTCAGCCACTTAGCACAAGACCTGGCCCATGACCCAGCCTGGGGTGTGTGTTGGGAGTATTCTTGTGCCTATGGGTCCCCAAAGCTGTGGATGATGTTTCTCTTCATGTGTGAGAAATTGTCCCCAGGTCCAAGAGTTGAACCCAGTGCTGACCTTGGCAAATTACTTCTCTAAAACAAAGGATCTGCCTTGTCCACACGTGGAAATCCCCTCTCAACTTACTAGACCTTCGGACTGGGCACGTGTTCTTCCACACTCTTTCCCCTTTCTCTGGAGAAGGGCAGACTCCAAGGAGGAGGACAGGGTCCTACACAGGGTCACCAGTCCTTCAGCCCTCACAGAATAAAGCATTTACCCTCAGGCACCAAGAAACATCATGGGTGACAGTCCTAGCAAGAAATCATAACTTTAATGCATTTCTCCAGGACCCCAGCCCTTGTTGCAAAGTTTCACTTGTTGTCACCACCCCAGTAACCCCAGAAAGAGAACATCTCTTTCAGATTTGTGTACAAAATCTGCCAAATCCTAAATGTTGGTGATTTAAAAAAAAAAAAGATTTTAAGAATGTAAGAGATAAACAGAACATATCTGCTCTTTAGGTGTGTTTGCACACCCTTGTGTAAGCCAAACCTCCATTTTACAAAAACTGAAACTGAGGTCCAGAGAAGGAATCAACTGACATGGTGAGTTTATAAGTCTGGGATTCCTAATACTAGCACTCTGGCAGGTCGACACGGGTGGATTGCCTGAGCTCAGGGGTTTGACACCAGCCTAAGCAAGAGAGATACCTCATCTCTACTGAAAATAGAAAAACTAGCCAGGCATTGTGGCAGGAGCCCACACTCCCAGCTACTACGAATGTTGAGACAAGAGGATCACTTGAACCCTGAGTTTGAGGTTGCTGTGAGCTATGGCACCAGACACTTAAACGCAGGGTGACTGAGTGAGACTCTGTCTCAAAAAACAATAAGTCTGAGATTGCACGATTCACCATAACCAACTGATTAACTTCATCAGCATTAATGCGCCAACCAACATTAGGTGCCTCCCAATGTAACGCATCAAGAATGACCCAACATCACATCTGTAATATCTATAGATCTGGGGATCTGTAGATCAGGGATCTGCCACCAGAATCCAATCACAAGGAAAGATCAGACAAATTCAAACCAAGGAGACCTACAAAAGAACTGGCCTAGGGCAGTACCTGTGGCTCAAAGGAGTATGGCGCTGGCCCCATATACCAGAGGTAGTGGGTTCAAACCTGGCCCTGGCCAAAAACTGCAACCAAAAAAAAAAAAGGAAGGAAGGAAGAAAAGAAGGAAGAACTAGCCTATAATCTTTCAAGGTATCGATTTTAGCACGGCACAATGGCTCACATGTTTTGTCCTAACATTTTGGGAGGCCGAGGTGGGTGGATTGCCTGAGCTCACAGGTTCAGGACCAGCCTGAGCCAGGGAAAGACATCATCTCTAATAATAGCCAGGCATTGTGGTAAGCATCTGTAGTCCCAGTTACTTGAGAGACTCAGGCAAGAGAATCGCTTAAGCTCAAGAGTTTGAGGTTGCTGTGAGCTATGATGTAACAGCACTGTACAGAGGGTGACAAAATGAGACTCTGTCTCAAAAAAAAAAAAAAGTATCAGTTTCCTGAAACATAAAGAAAGGTTGAAGAATTGTACCTGACTGAAGGATACTGAAGACACATGAGAATATAACACGTGATCCTAGCTTGGATCTTGAACAGAAATAATTTTTTTTGCTGTGAAGGACAGTTTGGGGACAGCTGGGAATCTGAGTACAGGCTACACTGTTAAATACTAGCATGATAGCACAAACATCCATTGTTCAACTGGACTGTGGCTATATGAGAGAATGTCCCCATAGTTGGAAATACAACTAAAGTATTTGGAAACAAAGGAAACATCCGAAACTATCTTGCAAATTCTCCGTAAGTTTAAAATGATTTATTTCAAAAAAGAAAAAAAAAGAATTAAAATTAAAAGTCATGGTGTGCTTGGGTTTCTTTCTTTCTTTCTTTCTTTCTTTCTTTCT